CCTTAATTCTGTCCCTGTGGCCCTTCTTAACATCTATGCACCTAATTTTGACTGTCCAGACTTTTACAAAAAAGTATTTAATCTTGTAGCGGAGCACAGCGAGTATAGGATCATTGTTGGGGTGGATTTTAACAATTACCTCAACCCTGTGCTTGACAGGTCCTCTCCTAAACCCGCCCCACCATTGCAGTCCACTTCAGTTATAACCAAGTTAGCAACGTCTTTAGACCTGGTTGATGTCTGGCGGCATCTACATCCTATAGAGAGGCAATATTCCTTTTTTTCTTCGGTTCACAAATCCTCAACAAGAATTGATTATTTTTTGGTCGACTCAAACTTAGATATGTTGGGGTGTGGGGGCCATTCCTTGAACATCTGAGTGATTCCACAGGTGTAGGTCACAGGTAGTGGCAGCCTTGCTCCGGCTCTGTAGCCCTGCTACCTTCCTGCCTGTCAGAATGGCTGTAGGTTGGCCTACCAGTCAGTGCACAAGTGATTTAATATACCCTAATACATTCATTCCCAGCAGTCTGGCGGAGCTGAATATTTTATTTAGTTGTCTTGTGTTTCATTATGTGCATGTGTGTGTATAATTATTTTTTTTCTTCCTCTTTCTTCTGTCTCCCCCATCTATGTTTTTTTTTTCCTTAATATTCTGGGGTGGGTTGGGTTGGGGTATCACCTTTCCTTTCTGTTAATCGTGGCTGTTTATTTTCTGGTAATACAAATGACGGTCGGGCAGTTGTATTCTGGAACCTGTCTGCAGCTGTGATCTTACTTGGACTCATCAACGGATGAAGACGATGTAGAAGATCCCAGTGTTGTCAGCATCATCCCACACTAATTGGTTATAGCAGACTGTTCGATAATTCGTATGTCAATGTATGTTAACTGTCCTGCAGTTTTGTTAATTTGTTGAAAACAATAAATATATATAAAAGAGTCTCCAACAAAAAAAAGAAACAATACAGATTATTTTCTTTTGACCTAAGCCTAGGATTTTGTAGTCGTTCATGAAAGCATGTCTGTTTTCATTATATTTTATTTGTTTAATGCTACATGTCACTGGACCTGTTTGAGGTGCTAATTTTAAGGATCTTAACATGCAATTGTGGAGAAGAGAGCAAACATCAGTCGCACATTTGCTTTTTTGATGACGTGGTTCTTTTGACTCCTTCAGAGCATGACTTTCTGTATATGCTGGCTGGACCCAGAATTGGAGATGAGAAAAGAGACTTTTCCTCAAGGGTTAGGCCCAAAGTAGAGCTGCTGCTCCTCCTTACTGAACGGAGTCAGTTGGGCTGGATTAGATATCTGGTTAGGGAATCTCCTGGGTTGCATCTAGGCAGATCTCATTGGGAGGAGACTCAGAACTTGCTGAAGATCTTTTGTATGGGTTTATTTGTAAAAGATGTCTGGAGTTCCCTGTACTTCAGCGAAGTGGAAGAAGGTATGCAGATAAGCGGCCTAATAAGAATCTCTTTCACAAAACAGGTTGGTCATTATTCTGCAAAGACAAATTCATCTCTTAGCTGCCTCTGGCCATTTATGAATCATCTGTCACTACGCCTACCATAAAAAGCAATTTAACAATTAATCAATTAATCGCCCAAAAAATTAAAATGAGATTCATAATTTCCATTTGAAGGACAATTTTCTTTAAAGAGAAATCAATATTTATAGTTTCAGTTATGTGTAGTTTTTATTTCCATTTTAATAATTTTTTCAGTTGTGTTTTATTTTTAATATTTAAAATATCTTCCAGTTTCAGTGTTCTTTACAAAATTAAAGCTTATTGATCTTTGAGAGAGCAAACTTGCACTATTATTCCATTATCAATATATTCCTTGAAGATGGTCTCAAAACAACATTATCATTTATTGCAATAATTAATTATCCACCAAACTTTGTAATCATGACAGGCCAACCTATCACTTTTTAAAATTTTAACCCAAAATTTTAATCACAATTTCTGTATTTTCTCTGTGGCATGCAGCGTAACTCTTTCTGTTTGCAACATTGTGTTAATTACACACTGCAAGGAGGTGATTTCTGTGTGTTTTTGCCTATTGTGCTGCACAGATACTCTGTCTTCACTATATGCCCTGGTTGAATGCTGATTTGCCCTCACGCAGGTGTGTTAACATGGGAACTTGACTAGTTTGCTTAGCGAATCAGGTTGGGTTGACTTGCCGCTTTGGTTTTTTCACAAACTTACGGAGAATCTGAATAAGCATTTTCAGTGCAGTTTTAGTTTGATTGACCCACAGCCAATTCAACATCTGCATACACAGTTTTTCATATATAAAAAAAGAATGTTTATAGTTGTGTTTCAGTATTTCTGTGCCAGCTAACACACCCACAGACTCAGACAGAAAAGCTTAAGAGGTGCGTTTTAGCAGCTCTTTATCCATTTTAGGGGTGGGGGTAGGATAAGAGAGGAGGGGGATGTTGAAGATGAATTATCCATTAGATTTCATCATATCTTACGCGGGCAATTACATCAAGAAAATGATCGTGGGCACAGGATCAATTATGCATGCCCTTGGCCAAAGACCAGGCACTAGGCAGAAGGAGAGGGCATGTGCACGCTCACACACACACACATGTGCAAAGACAAGGAGGATCTCATAGATGTGGCGCATCAGTTCATCTTACTGCCTAAAAAGTTCATACGCTTAATAATTTAGTTGTGTTCTGGATACAGTTTCCCAACTGAATATTAACAACTTTGAAGTGAGTAACAGCAGCCAGAGGTGTATGTGTGTGTGTGTGGATGTATTTGTAAGGGGGCTAAAAGAGACCTCAGGAAACAGGTCTTGTGAGTCCCACCGGAGACAGCACCTCGAAACACACACGCACACACACACACACTTTCACTCATCCATTACAACACCGTTTGCAGCAGCGCTCATTCCTGAGCAATTAAGAATTCCTTTTCATCGGTACGTAGGTTCCCATATCTCGCTCTCAGCGCTTGTACACAAACCAGGAGAATAGGAGGAAAAAGCAGGAGGGTCTGTGTGAGAGTTAGAGGTTAGAAAGGGAGGTTTAAAGATGAGAGAGAAAAAAACAATAAACAGGAAAACAAAGAGATTAATGCCTGTGTTGTGCTTCATGTTTGTTGTTTCTACTTTCTTAATTGTTAGGCTTTACTAGTGAAAGAAAATTGATTTACTTTATTGACTCTTCTTTTTGTCTTGCTCTCACAAAAAAGAAACGTAGGTATCTGAGTACAAAAGGCGGGATAGAGTGTATTTCTGCACACGCAGCTTGCAGAAACAGAAGCATTTTTCCTGCTAACGACAGAACAATAGGATGCATTTTCTTTGTCTCCTTCCTTTTTAAAGAGTTTTTGCCAACGGTTGAAGAGAAAGTCAATTAGGAAGACGAATCACTAGCTCCAAAATGGCAGCTGAAGATAGAGATGAGTAAGGACGGAGGAAAGAAAAAAAAGAGATGTATCTGACACGAGTTTGTTCAAGGAGAAGCAGAAAGACTGAAAGAGATGTGGGCATCGAGAAATCTTTTCCAACATGTCAGGACCTAAATGTACAGGGGAGAGCCAGATGGTTCACGCTGGGTGATCTTTGTCAGTGTGTTTGTGAAAAACAAGAAGTGTAATGGGGAAACAGAGAAGACATCATGCAAATTAAACGCATCCAATCTCTGGCTCACTCCTCAGTCACTGTTTCAATTAAAAAAATGCTACTTTCATTTATATTAGTCTAGGAAAACACATACATATCTCTAACCTAAGGCGTGAATGAATAAAAACACACACACACATATGCACAAAGAGGCATTAAAACACACAAACACCTCCTGACATGTCGGCTCTGACAAGCGTGGCTGATGTGCGCCTCCAATGTGCATGGTAATAGCCCAATCAAAAATGCAAAACAATTGGCAATTACTGTGAGGACCTAATGGTCATTAGAATTTACAACAAGGTAATGAACTAAAGTCTGCCCATTGCATGCATATTCATAAAGCTATCTGAGCTTTGAAGATTAAAGTAGCGCTTAAAATTCAAATGAGCCACCGCAAATTATCGGGAAAAAGTCAGGTCTTCTGCTGGTGACGATGATTTGGAGTCTGAGCTTATAATCAGTCCAGAAACCGATGTTGGTAGCCATAAAATATGAGGCTGCCGACCGGCAAAAAAGCGTCTACTTCGAAAACAACGTCTATTTATGCTCATGGACATGTTAAATGCCTTTTAAAGAAAAGGATTTATGGTCAGATGAGGCATTACTGAGCAGTTTGGTCACAAGAAGAATGAGTTGATGTGAGGTTATCAAACCTGACAACGCAACTTTGTCAAGCATTGTGGCGGCAGCGTTTTCATTTGTTCTGCTACTGGAAGTGGATGTAATAACAAAAATCGGAGAATTACATCAATATTCTACATCTTCATGCAGGCAAACATAACATTTCTTCAATGGCTCAGAGCTCAACCATGTTAAACATTTGTGAACTTCAATAAAAGTCGCTTCCAACCAGTTCAGAGCAGTGATCGAATGCCCATCCATTCAAATACTGAGTGGATGAGAAAGAAACTTACTTAAGGACATTCAACTAATACTAGTGAAGGGTGTATTCATATATATGAGCTTATGTGTATAGTTGTTGACCATGTGTGGACTAGAGAAAAGCCCCAGCGAAGGAAAATATAGGCATGTAATTCTTATTTTGTTGGTTCATGTATATCAATGGAATCTAATTGGAACTTTATATTTAAAGTTTATCAAATTTCACCAAAGTAAAAAAAAAAACACATTAGAAAATTAGGTTTGTGGTAGAAGAAGGTTTTGCCGCAGATCATTTTAGAGCAAGCCAATGTGTAATTTAATTTGTCAATTCATATCAATGTCAATATGTTGCTCGTAATTTCTTGTCTGGTTCTGAAATGAGGAAAACTGCGAAACTAGTTGGATAATCAGTTTGTGTTGTCTGGACAAGATTTTATAACCAGGGCTGTTTTTCTGTGTGTTCAGGTAAAAAGCTTCAGATGCAACTGCAGCGATATGTTTGAAGCTAAAAGTCCATCTGTTTACAACATGCCGAGAAGAAGGATGTGAAACGAAGGAGGAGACGGTCGCCGTGACAGGAGGAAGCCGACTGAATCTCAGGATGCAAAACTCAACAATTAGACTGACTCACACAGAGTGGTGTGTCCACAGTCTGTGTTCTGCAGCTACATATAGTGCGGTCATACGTCGAAGTAGCAGTTCAGCCAAACTGGAAGCAAGAAATCAGAGTGGAGACACACACACACACACACACACACACACACACACTGCCAGCTCAGCTCTGGCCACCTTTAACAGGGACTATTCTGCATAAACTCACACTGAAAACACACAACTGATGTAAGTAATGACAGGTAACACTGACGAATGGACACATAAGTAATCTATGTGTGTGCGTGTGTGTGTGTGTGTGTGTGTGTGTGTGTGTGTGTGTGTGTGTGTATATGTCTCTGTGTGTGTGGTATATAAAGCCAGTCTGTAATCCAGTGGCCTATATAAATAAGCTTTGTAGTGTATAAACAGTTTTATGTACAAGCCTTCAACATAATAAGAGAGCTGAGCTACATGTGCAGCCCCTGTGTGTGTGTGCATGCCTCGGAACAGACACTCACACACTCACACAAAGTGAGCGGCCAAAAACAGCAGCTTTCCCTCTCACCACCAAGAAGTAAATGTAGCGTGGATGTCGAGGCACTTGCATAAACACAAAGAGCCGGATCAATAAACAATCCTCCATCACAGAGAGCGGGTCGACCTGACGTCACCGACACGCCGCCACCACCGCGGGGAAATAATCCTCCTCCTTCCAACGTCTCATCCTGCCCCGTCACTGTTTGGGGAAAGTTTGCCAGCCAGCCAAAAAAAAAGCGTGGAGATCTTTCCTTTTTTTTTATTGTTGTTTTGTTTTCTTTTTTAACACATCTGTCATCATCACTGACCGTTGTTGCTGTTTTGGTGCGTCAGCGCCGCGCTTCTCAGAGAACAGCCGTCAGTCAGAACGTGTGGGCAGTCTGACGTCTTTTCCTTGGGATTTTTTTTTTAAGTCGTTTCTTCATCATCGTGGTGGTGCTGTCCATTTCCTGCTCTGCTTCTATTTATTCCAAACCCAGAAAAAAGGCATCATTTCCAGCATGGCATGGGCTGGTAGGAGATCTCACTGAATATTAATCTGATATGAAAAGACTTTATGGCATTAAAATATAATCTAATAACTTGTGCACGGGGTTTTCCTGCTTCTAAAAGATCGATACATTTATAATTTTAGGATTGATTTAATTTATTCGTAGATAATTAGTAGAAAAACACGTTCATGAGACGATTATCGTATTTGTCATGCTGCTTTTCATAGAGTAACACATTAACAAAGATTTTAGCCGGTTCGCTATGGAAGTCGGCTGCTGAACAGACGTCCGGCTCGAACCATAACAAGACTGACTGATAGTGACTATTTAGCTTCCCCAAAATGGCTGTCTTTTTCGTGACCAAAAATATTCCTCAACATCTAAATTTGTGTTTTTGTAAGTAACATGGAACAGTTTCAGAGGCGGCTTTCAGCCTCCTGCCCACCAGTGTGCAGCAGCAGCTTTGCTCTATGCTTCATATAGCCAAAGAAAACTCTGCTGATCTCATTTAAAGGTTTTTGAACCACATGAACAGAACCGCGGAACATTTTAGCAGTTTCGCAACGTGGCTTTATGACTGTATTACATTACACTTCTGTACTTTTCACATGACGTTTTGTAAATTTTCAAGTCAAAATGGAAAATCTCCACACACTTTTAGCCATCTGACTAGCAATGCACAGAAACATGGTGTAATGTTACAGCTTCATTTCTCAGCCAGAGAACATTTCACTCTGTCTTCTTCTCTCGCATGTCATTGGAAGGCCCTATAAAACTTACAATTGAAAATTCATATGACTCTTTTTTAAACTGCATTTTCTAAAGACTTGATGTACCAGCAGTCGGCCCTGGTTTTGTTCACCACACCAGGAGCACTTTGCCGTCAGAGTCTGCACTGACAAATCTGATTTTCAAGAGCACAACCGGCTGCTATTTAATACTGATACATTATTAATGACTGTTGATCATCAATTTATCTTCTTTTGCCACGTTATTTGCCTTGCATCACTTTCTCTGCAGGAGCATGATTTGTTGGAGGAAAAGAAATACCAATCAACGCCATAAGCACAAAAAACACACCAAAAAAACAAGGATCAAAGCAACCTGCTGTACATATGAGCAGGAATCTAATGATCACCGCAGGGAATCTCTCAGCTACTCCACAAACAAGTCAAAGGTCACAGTCAGGATCACATTCAGCCTTAGCTTTAATCTCAATCCCTTGTTTTGACCACTATTTTTTTTTTTTTTTCTCCAAACTGCAAAGCCTAAGAATCTTGCATGATCCCCCTCTGCGCCTCCGGAGGAGTCACAAGTAACACTGGTGATGTTGTCGGGATGTCATCAGGGTTACCTCAGCCCGGGCCTCAAGCTTCACAAGTCTGGGAGAGAAAGCAGAGCTGCAGACAGAGGAGGACGGAGGTGCTCGCTAAGCGGACAGGGTTCAAAACCAGGAGCTTAACGAAATCTTCTCGGCAGTTGCTGAAAGCCAGGATACCTCGGCTTTATAAATATTCAAGCAGAAAACCTGCCAGACGAGGATGCAGGACGAGGTTTATAGTAGTTAACACTTTAATGCTGTCTTATATAACAGTGTGGGTGTGTGTGCTGTGGAATTACCAAGCAGGATGAAGCTCAAGTCAACCGACTCGTCTTTGTTTTATTGCTGCTCTTAATACCATAAGCAGCAAAATTCTGTTTTTTAGCACCATCGCCATGCTGCCCATACTCACTGTTTCTCTTCTTTTTGCTGGGCACTAAATAATTTATTCCAGCTTAGTTTATTTATAAAATGCCAATTTACAGCAAAAATCATCTCAACTCGCTTTACAACACAACTGATTCAAATCATATCAAATATAGTTAAATCAAAACAATTCAATCCACTCATAAAAACAGATTCAGATTCTCTTCCTAACATCCCAGTTCATATTTAACTGTAACACAGATTCAGCTTAAAATGCCCATTTGGTAAAAACTGGTAAATCTGCATAAGGCCTCCCGATTTAACTGAGTCGTTCACTTTTCATCTATCCATCCTCCTGAGAAAGTATGAGGCGACAGTGGACAGCCGGTTGCATCAACATATAAATTTGTACTCCATATGATTTAGAAATTATTTACTTGTCTGTTTTTATCTCTTTTTGTGTTTTAGTCACACTTAAATGTTTCAAATAACCAATCACATTTTTTAATTGTGTTTGGTTTTAAAATATATAGAATTTTAAAACACAAATGTTGAAATTACAATCAGCCATGGTAGTGTTCATGTCAAAGTTTAGGGTTAGAGTAATTTAGTGACTCAAGATCTGGACAACGAGAAAATATCTGACCCAAAGTTTGTGACCTTAAGCTGAAGCAACTTGGATAATGTAGCAGGACAATGATCCAAAGCACAATTGAATTGTTCAAAAACAAACAAAAAAAACAAAGATAACAATGTGAGAGTTCAGGAAGACCCTAATCGAGGTCTGAAAATAAATACGATTAAGATGTAGACATGTTAGACATGTCAGTCCAGCTTCAAAATCCTCAAATGTGGCTGAATGAAAACAATTCTGCAACAAAGACTGGGCCAAAATTCATCCACAGTTTGATGATTGTTGTTGCCAGCAGGAGAGGCAATGTTGGCTTGGATAGATTCTTTTTTTTTTACCTCAATAAATGAAATCATCTTTTGCATTCATCAGGTTACTTCGTCTGATTTAAAAAAAATTGTAAGAAAAAAGAAACAGAAGAAATCTGAAGGCGGGCAAATACTTTCTCCCAGTGAGGTTTATATCAATATACAGATATATAACACAATGCAGACCACTGGCCTTTGCAGAAGATTATTAGCTTTTCCAGTCGTCACAGTAACCTGTACTGCATGTGTTATCCTGCCGCTGATGATTCCCACACACACACACACACACACACACACAGCAGCGTGTTTACATTCGGAGAGGCCATTCACCGTGCCGACGCTGTTCAAACGCAGCACAGCACTCGAGTCCACTAAATAAAATCTTATGTGGAGAAATAAAGAAAGGCGGACAAAAAGGGAGAGCGACAATAGATTAGTGATGGCAGCCAGCGTGTGAAATCTCTTTGTTGGGCTCGCTGGGATGTTCCACAGCATGAAACACACACTCACACACACATCCCCACCAAACATACTGTAATTGATTCAGTATCAATTGGCTGTCCTGGATTTGCATTGACTGCTAATGCATCAGTGTGAGACTCAAAGAGAGAGAGAGAGAGAGAGAGAGAGAGAGAGAGAGACGAGCCAAACGAGAAAAGGGGGAAAGAAAAAGTAGAGGGAAGGATACGAGATGGAGGGAGAGCGTTCTGAAACAGAGCCAGACTGTGATTGGGTGTTAAAAATGCACTAATGTGCACTGAGATGGGCAGCATTAGCCACTGATGATAAGCTAATTGCTAATCAGTAGATCATAGACTAACAACGCTCGTGGTGCGAGGCTCCAAGCCAGGACGGCACTTCAGCGGGGCCAGAGCGGAATGGAGGACCGGATATTTTGGGTTCAGAAATGTGAGAAATTTTGGGGGGATTCATCATTCTGCTCTCGTAGCGATAAAAATCCGTGCTAATGAGTTAATACAGATAGCTTATCAGCCAATGTTTCACTGAAACGCAGATCGCTGGCCTCATCTCGACTCGACATCCAAACCACGTGAGCTAAATTCTTGCACCTCATTACGAGGAAATCAATTTGGAAAAACCAAACAGGAGGAGGTGTATTTACAGCTGAAATAATCCACAAAGATTTCCTTCGAAATTTCAATCTTCAAACCAAATAAATTTTCACATTAATATCCACTGTTGATGGGAAAAAAGAAATGGGACAAGACATAGCTGTTCACACTTCACACACACACACACACACACACAGAGACCCCTCTCTCTTTCGAGACATTAGCGATGCTGTTTCTGAGCGAGGGACCGCCTCAGGGATTATAATCAGAATTTTCATCTCAGTTAGGGATTAATAGAATAAATGGGCAAGCAAGCGAGCGCTGAGCATTTATGTGTGTGTGGCTTTAATGGTGAGGTACCCAGCCTTTTTTTTGCAGCAATGATTTGCCTTTTCATTTATCACACACACATAAAAAAAACATCTAGGCCAGAGCTGTTTGTTGGTTGCAGAAAAAAAGCAAAAATAAGTGTAGTGCTTTGTGTGGCTCAGATGCAGATGTTTATTTATTTATTTTTTATTTCAAAATGCACATGCTCTCAGCTTGCACAGTACGCAGGATGCATCCAGATGTAAAGATGGGGGTGTATAAACTCTAAATTATGTCCAGTCAGCGTTATTATGTTGGAAAATATTCAGGCCGTACAGTAAAAACAAAAGTTGCATCTTGATTCCTTTTGTTCCTCTTGTCCAGAGGCTCTATGAAGTTTATAAAGCAGAACATTCACAAATAAGAAACACACACGAGCCATCTTTCTTCTTTTCAGTGTCACTGTGAATATTTTTGGATCGCCACAATGCAGCTTCAGCAGATTTTATATATATATATATATATATATTTATATTTTTTTTTTTTTTTTTTTTTTTTCCTCGCATCTCCTGCCAGTTTGGGGTCAATTAGGATGAAAGCTGGGGTCTGGTAGGGGAGAGAGAGGGGGGCGGCTGGAGGGTGCTGGCTTTAATTATCAGCTATCAGGATGAATGTGTTGCAGAGATTGGCCGCTGCGGAGAGAGGGAAGCTCCGCAGAAAGAATGGCAAATTAAAGGGGAAAGACGTAAATTTAAACAGAACGTTTAGAGATGTGTTTCCCCCCTTTTCATGAAGAGGCAAACTTTTAATAATGCCCGGCCTGTCCACCGCTCAGTGTGGTGTCAAGCCTGGAGAAGATATATGCTGCTGCTGTCCTGTTTTCCTGTCCTGTCTGAGCGTACAGCTGTTCCCACCAAGACGTTCCCACACGCAGCACTATTCAAGCAACCAGACGCCCTTATTATGATGTAAATCGCTCTAATAACCCAGTTTAGCTGGTGAGTGTCTGCAAGAGTGAGAGTGTGTAAGGAAGCGTGTGTGTGTGTGTGTGTGTGTGTGTGTGTGTGTGTGTGTGTGTGTGTGTTTTACATATGTGCAGACACCAGAGAAGCATATAAGCTAAAAGACGAGCTCGTGTTCCTGCCGTCGTGGAGAGAAAAGGTCAAGGATGGCGCAGATTTTCCCCCAAAAAAATCTCCGTTCCCGTAGCTGCAACGTTTCAATCATGGGAACCGAGTTCAGCTCCAAATGTGGAATATGGGGCTCATTTTCTCAAATTCCTGAGCTGTGTTCGGCAAACGGAGTGATGAGGGGTGTTTTTCATCTTTCCCTCTCCGTGCAACAGCTAATTTAGTACATGGCTAAAAACTGCCGCTAATTAAAATGCACAAGGAAGCGAGTGGGGGGGAGGGGGGAGAAATAGCACTGTAACAAATAATTAGTGGTGTTAGAACATTTCCGTGAGCGAGGCTCTCGTTTGATTCAAAAACGGAAAGTGGAAGGATTCTCCAGCGTGAAGGTAAACTCCGAGAGGGAAACGGACGTGGGCCAAATTTATTCGGGTAAAATACGGCGCCCTGGGAAGGAGGGAGGGCGCACCAAGAGCAGGAGACACAAACAGAGTCCCAGCGAGATGCTTCAGCTGCTCCCAAGACTAAAACTCACACACACTGATCAGAAAATGATCCTGCATCAACACACACACACACACACATGCCTTGACCAATGGGAAAACAAATTCAAGGGCACTCTTGTCTCCTTTCCACTGGCCAGTGGGAATAGGCCACACTGGGTAGGCACACACACTCTGCACCAAATACAGCTGGTTAATAAAGCCCTGCCTCACACAAACAGACACACACTACATCCTGACCAGTTGGTGCAGCACACACTTCACTGGTCCACTGTCCGACCCGTGAAGTTCAAGCAGACCTGAGTTGGTTTTACTGGGACAAATGTTTTCATTCGGAAGCAACAAAACATGCCAGCATGTTGTACTACAATAAAAACATGATGTCTTGAAAAACCCTCTGTCCTTTCAAAAGGCTAAGAAATCTGCATCTGAGCTCCTCCAAACTTCTACTAGGGCTGTTTCTGAGGGCAGTGAAGGGAAAAGGCGAAGTACAGCTGAACATCCAGCCATGATCACACACAAGCCCATGCTCTGAACGTTCGGTCACCTGTTTTTCTGCAGCCTGCCGCGCCTGTGTTCATGTAGAGCTGGAGGTGATGCATGTTGCTCTGTTTACCTGGGAGGGGCTCCTGCTTTGGGCAAATCCCCCGAGGCGACGAGAACCTCTCGTCGTCTTCGTCTGCTAGAGTGGCCTGAACCCCGACTTCAACCGGCCTCCGGCCACGCAGAGAGTTCAGAGCGGGTGAAGGGGTGAGGGCCAAACCGGGGGAGGGCGAAGGGGGCTTGTCCAGCCCCCTGCCTATGGCGAGGCAGGGTGGCCCGTGGCATCGCTTCCTCTTGTGCTCGATGAAGAGCAAGATGTCTGCCAGGGGGAAGGTGGCCTGGCACTGACCGCAGGTCAGGAGGTCCTGCTCCGGCGAGGGGTGAGAGTCCGGACCCAGCCGGGCCAACCGGCCCGCGGTGGGGACCGGATGGTGGCCGTTGAGGCTGCCGCTGTCCTCCGAGTGCTCCGAGCAGCGCTCCGACAGCTCCTCCGACGAGACGACGGCCGTGGAGAGGGGCTCGGCTGCTGCGGAGGGAGAGGGGAGATAAATTAGATACTTGTGTTTAAATTTCCAGCCTATTGATGCGACTCCTGATGGGATGTGATGAGAGGGACCCAACGGTCACACACAGGATCAGAGTGATGGAGACGGAGCTTCACATGTGGTTCGCACAATAAGGGGCTGAGAACGAGGGCCTTGTAATAATGGAAATGCACAAAATGCAGCAAAAGTGATTACAATGCAAGATGGATCTGGATCACAGATCACAGCAATAAACGGTGGGAAATAATATCCCGAATGGATGCAAAGCTCCAATCACACGGCTTTAAAGATAACAATTTCATAGCCAATGACAGGGGGAGCTTAGAAAATGATGCGTTGAAAAACCTAAATATGTGGATGAGTTTGACTTGCCGGTCCGTGTTTGTACACGGGCTGAGCCTTTAATCAGCGCGGAGGATTGTCACAAACACATCCAGCACATGTGCTGCGAAAGGAGAAGGGGGGACAGGAGGGACAATGGGACGACTCGTCCCTCTTCTTGTGCCTCACTTGGTGTCCGGACCCCAGAAGAGTCCAGTTTCTCCCTCCTAAGGTGAGGAAAAAGTGGACATGACTGCTTTTTAAGGAATCTTCTTGTAGAGCTCAGGAGGCAGCAAAGTGGGAGGACTAAAACTCAGCGTCCCTCTTTTAAAAGAAAATCTTCCAGTCCAAGGTGAAGAGTCTGACTCTGAGCTAGTAGCCTAATGTGCGCTGACCTTCTTTACTCATCTGCCAATTTCACATTTTAATGAACTTAAGACCACTGAGAATCAAAAAATAGATTTTAATTTTCACCATCTGGGTGATTGGATACAGATTTTGGTCTGATAACAGGAAGGGGGGCAGGGAGATGGGACGGAGCGCCGTGTGCACACACGTGTGGCCGAGTGTCTGCGGGAAAGTGTGTGTCTACAAGGGAGGGAGAGAGGCTGGGTTGGTGGGAATGTGGACTGCACCCCTCCTCAAGGAAATATCTGGACGTCACGGTCCTGAACGACATCAAACTGGGACGTGGATTCTCCAGGCCCAGCAGCTCCCTGAACACCGCTTCCAAAATATTCCCTGTCTTTGATTAATCTTCAGGTCTACGCAAGTTAGACAAAAAAAACCCTGAAGAGGGGTAGCATTAAATTCACTTATTTGTTTAAAAATAAATGTTTTCTTTTTGCAAAAAGCTCCTGACATATGAAGGTGAAATTGAGAGACAACTTGTAAACTGAAAAGGAGGAAAATTCCTAAAAAAGAAAAAAAAATTAAATCTCAGTAAAACAGAAACATGCAGAAGCCACTCATCTGTGTCTAATTTTAGAGCTGAGCAAACAAGAAAAAGGAGCAGAGGGGATATGTCTGCTGCTCACTAAATTCACATGCCACAACAGGATTTACAGCCATCACTTTACAGAGACATGCTTTTTCAGTTAGATTGTTCCTTTAAAAAGACTGAAAATATCTGTTGACACAAAGTAAATCCAACATTTTCTGGAGGATAAAAGACGCCTTCAGTGGAAATGCAACTGTTTTTAAAAACAGGAAATATAGAACTATGTAAAATTATAAGAAGGGAAACGGGAATTAAAATAAATAGTCCAAGTTTTGTATTATTATTATTATTATTATTATTATTATTATTATTATTATTATTATTATTATTGTTGTTGTTGTTGTTGTTGTTGTTTTGCTCCTGTGGATGAATTTTGAGCCCCGTTTGCTACATTTGGAAACCCCTCTGTGTGTCTGTGTGCTGAAGAAAATTTGCGTGGAGGACAGAATGGGTGCAAAGGCTACATGTATGTAAAAAGTGATGCACAGACAAAACGGGGGGGAGTTCCGGAGAGAGGACGTAGGTTTGGGGTGATGAAGACGAACTGGGGAGGGGGGAGATGTTGTTGGGGGGGGCTCCCTCTTTCCCTCTCTGTTTGTTGCCCCCACCCGTCCTTACGTCTTGTACGCTTTTCCTTTATTCTAAAGAGCTCGCAAGACATCAGCCCGTATAGACAGGGAAGGGTGGAGGGGGGGGGGTTGGAGGTAAAACTCCTCTGGTTCAAGTTTGGAGCTGGATTTTCTAATCGCGCTCTGCCTCCTAGCGACGGGACAGGGTCACTGTCACTGCGCTGTCCCCCCTCTGAAGGAAACACACACACGCACACGCATACACAACACACACTCTTTTTCTGTCTCTATCTCCAAACCAAACACACGCGACTGCCCGTCAACGAACTCTAATGTTAATTAAGCAGCGACTCGTAAAGATGCGCTAAATAACCACTTGTTTTCTTGCGCGTGGTCCGCAAAGAGAGGCGCACACTTTCCCAACTGCCTCGCAGCTTTCCAAAACACTCGCACCGGCTTTCTATTGAGAAATAAAGCTTTTGCACGCAAATAAAATTAAATCTAAGTACATAAATAAGAGGAGGTTTTTTGAGAAATGGACTTTGTGCGTAAAAGTCAAAAGCTGTTGGATTAAATTGTCTTTCTCTCAAACACCAAACATCTGATAATTACTTTTTTGTTAATTTACCTGAAGCTTTAAAGTGAAGTTATTCCGTCAAGTTGTTCATGTTTAAATTTCTTTGGAGATAGAATTTTCTAGTTCAGACAGAGAACGTGGCTTCAACTTTACGAACATCTAAACAGCATTCACTGTAAAAAAAAAAAAAAGAAAAAAAAGAGCTAAATATACATCACTAAATCGATCATTTTGATTGGCTCAGATAAAGAGTTTTTCGCTCGATCCAAAAACGTCCACTTTACTGTTTCACCTTCCTTTTATTCCAAAACAGAGTAGACGAGCTCGCACTGCAGGAAGCGAAATTCTAGAGGGTGATCTGTCCAGAGAGCTCCGCGGAGAGGACGCGCTCTGACCGGAGCGACCGTCGAGATCCAAAGCGGCTGCGTTTACCAGCCTGTCAAAGCGGCACAACTTAAAACTGGTCCATCAAAACTTTTTTTTTTATTCTCCCACTCTTCCTTTTCATGTTTCGGGAAGCCAGCTTTTTACGCACGGAAGGTGTCGGACTTTGTCGCCGCGCCGCAAAGTCCAGTTAGAGTGTCCGGTGTCCAAACCCCCCTTTTTCTGTCCCCCATTTGCTCCCAGAAGGGTGAACTGAAACAAAAGTGTTTCTAACTCTCTCTTTAGAGGCTTTTACTTACGCGAGAAATCCCGTTTGCTCAGGTGCTGCGGTTTGCCTTGCTTGCGGCGAGACATGGTGGCTGTTCAGCGGCTGCGTTCAGCGCGGATCACATCGGGGAGATGCCGGGGTGACAGAGGAGAGGAGGAGGGGAAAAAAGAGAGAAAAGATCTTCATCCAACGCCTTGGACATCTACCAGAGGAGGTGGAGGAGACGGAGTAAAAAAAAAAAAAAACCCAAAATAATAATAAAATAAATTAGAAATAATAGAAAGATAGCGCGGAAGCGAGGATGGATCGCGGGATCGCCGTCATGGCTTTTTTGAGAAAGGAGAGCAGAGAAAAAAGAGAGAGAGAGTGAGGTGGATGGAGAGAGAGAGGGGGAGAGAGATTGAAAAAAATGGCAAAACCCCCCCTCCACCCCTCCACCCCACACCCCCCAACACACACACACACATACACGCACGCACACACACACACATACACACACACACACACACACACACACACACCACCCCTCCCCTCTTAGCTGTGCAAGTTCAAGTGCACGGACGTGACGTTCCCGGCGAACTTGAACGTCAGGCGGCGGACGGACACCCGACATACAAAAACATGGGCCGGGCCGAGGCACCCGAGTGGGAGTGGGGAGTGGGAGGAGGGACAGACAACACCATTGGACGATCATTAGAGAGAGAGAGGAAGAGAGAGAGTGAAGGAGAGGAGGGGGCTGGACATGAGAAATAGACCCAGCGCAAGCCAATGGACACAGAGATCAGGGGGGCCGGACAAGAGGCACTGCGAGGGAGGGAGGAGTGTGTGTGTGTGAGTGTGCGTGTGTGTGAGGCAGAGAGATGTATAATGAAAGCAATATGCAGAGAGAAAGAGGAAGGTGCATGCAGAACAGGGCACTCTGCTGCATGCAGTGTGCCCTGAATGTGTGTGTATGTCAGAGAGAGAGAGAGAGAGAGAGAGAGAGAGATTACCTGGACCCACGCGTGTCCCCAGAGTGTGTACACAACATTAGGAAGAGCAAAAGAAACGGGAAGGAATAAGTGTGTGTGGCTGCAGTGAACAGAACGGCAGGTTGAACAGCCAAACAGCAGCATGTTCTGATCCAGGCCGGATATCAGGAAACATCCAGAGCCGGCCCAACGTCGTTTGGGGCCAAAGGCAGAACCAGGCTTGGTTTTGGGGGATCACTGTTTTATCCAATAAAAATTATCATTTTGAAAATTAGTGGGAACCCTTGTGTTTTTAAAAATAGTAACAAATACACTCAAACCTCATTCATTTAGTGTGTTTCTTTCTTTTCCCACAGTGCCACACAACAAGAAGGTCCAGGGTTCAAATCCCAACCTAGGCTCATTCTGTTATTCCCATTCATGATTGGATTCTCTCTGGGTACTCCGGCTTCCACTCACAGTCCAAAAACATAACTGTTATGTTAACTGTCTCTCTAAATTTATCTTAGGTATGAATAGATTAAAAATATCCTCATTGTGTCCTACAGTGGGGAAATTCTGGTGTAACAGCAGCAGCAAAGTGACAGATTAGCTTCACACAAAGATAAAAATGAAAATGTATTGAATTAAGAATAAACTGTACAGTGAGGTGAAATACAACATAAAATGCTGTACAATTATTAGCGTACTTGATCCAAACGATGTAAACATCTGGTTTTGGGAGCGGTGAGGGTTCTAGAGCCCAACAGCAGCAGGGAGGAAGGATCTGTGACAACGCTCCTTTATGAACGGAGGACGCAGCAGCCTGACACTGAAGTAGCTCTCCAGCTTTATGCTTTGAGTTGGAGACATTGTCCAGTAGTGATGTTATTTTATCTAGCTTCTGTCTCTTCAGTCTGCTCTGATGCTTCCTGTAAAGAGCATCGGCGGTGTGAGTCCAGTTCAGTTTATTGTTCAGGTGAACTCTCAGGTATTTCTAAGAATCTCGTTGTCCACTCCCTGGATGTTGACGGCTGTCATTGAGCTGGGATTGTGCCTGCAGAGGTGAAAGTGTGACTGCATAGTAGTTTGTCTAATGAGTCTCTTTGTTGCCCTGTGACGGACTGACTACCTGTTCAGGACGAACCCCGCCTCTCACCCAGTGACTGCTGGAGTTAGGCACCAGCCTGCAAGTGAAAGTAGCATAGATAATGATTAATCAGCCTCTTTCTGGTAGATATCATTTACCAGAGTCAAATAAGCGTATTTCCTAAAAGTAGACATTAAGTAGATTATAGAACATAGCAGTTGACAGAGAGGATATGCAGCATATACAAGGCAGGTGCAAATCGCTACATGGTTGGTAAGATAAAGACCATTCCCATCCAAACCTGAAAAAATCTGCCATGACAAATCAACAATGCAATTATAAAATAGCAAAGAAGCAAAATGTCCAGGATCCAGAACCAACTCTTACCCTTAATGTTGCATCAAAATTAACCATTAGTGCCCTAAAGAGCCCATTTATTAATTATTACCCCAGTGAATATCTGTGGATTTACATTTTGCCCTCTTGTACTTCGATTTTGTCATGCCTGACTTTCCAGGTATGAAATAGATTCGTCTTTCACAGGATACAACAGTATTTCATATGAATATGAATATTTACTTTTTAAGTAAATCAGTTTAATTTTTAATTTAAATTTTCTATACTATATTCATAGTTTACTGTTAAGAAATGTAGTTCATATAAATATTATCTGCCAGAAGGGTGAAAGTATCTTAGTTTGATCAGGAGATAATATTTATTATGCTCAATAAGAGTCAACTGGCCCAAACTGAGGTGAAAAACAAAATAAATGGAAATATATTGATAATGCAGAGTTTTAATATGGTATAGCATATTATATTTTATATGAGTTTTGAACATTATCTTGTCTTTTTTCTTCATAATTTGTCATAATTCATTTGAATTGGTAAGGCTAATACCTACTAAGCTGTTGTTGGATACGGCACAATATTAATGACTCTTAACCGTCTACGTCTGGTCATTTCTGGCCTTCTCTTCTCAGCCGAATAGCGTCTGTGTTACCTGGCAAAGTTTTGCTGCTGGTTACATCAAACCAGCTCATCATCTTCAGCACTCAGCGTGCTCCAGCTCTGCCAAGAGGGGAATGAACCTTCAGATTTCTCAACAGACACTGGAGTTTGCACATTCCCTGTGCTAGTTCAGATCCTGTGGCTTTATGGAAATCATGCTGATAAACGTAATCGGCTGATCTACCCAGTCAGCGCCGTCAAAGTAACTTCAGGACAATACAGGATGTATTTTGACAGAGTGTACAGAGACAAACTCACCAACATTCTCTTGTGAATGTTCAGACATCAGGTCCCAAAATGGCAGATATTTGTGTCCAGATTTAGATGTCTTACATTTGCTGTTATCTGTTTTGCCTTGCACTGCTTTGTTAGGCATTACGGTACTTACTGTGTCAGAACAGGACCAGACATGCACCGATCCGATACTGGTGTCTTTATCAGCCCGATGCAAAAAAAAATTCTAGATCATGTATCTGTGACAATGTTCCCAAACCCTAAGGGCAGATCTAGCTCTGAGCAACGTCATGCTTTATGATTTATTTTACATTATATTTATAATTCCTAATTGCACTTTCCAAATCATGTGAAAGAAGGTCTGTTGCAGTTTATTTTTACATTTTTTTCAGTTTCAATTTCTTTATACTCATAATTGGACTGAATGAACAACTTAAAGTTTTGTTGTTTTTGCATGTCTGACCAAGCTTCTGAAGCTGCTGATGTATTTAGGTGTGCAGAGTTATCAAACAAATTTGTACTTCAGCACATTTATGTCTGTGCTTAAAGAAAAGAAACATTTTAGGTCACTTCAGCACTATGTTTTTCTGTATTGGATCGATGTTTGCCGATACTAAGACTCAGATATCTGTATCGGTATTGGAAGTGAAAAAAGTGGATCGATGCATCAGGACAGCAGACTTCCTGTCTCTCTGTGGAAACAAGTCAGCATCCAGAGAAGGAAGGAGACGCAGTCTTGAGAAAAATATTGTATATTAATTAAGAAAATCTGCATTAGAATCGGACTCAGCTGACTCCTACATGGGTTATAAAATATTAGAAATGTGAAGCATTATGGAAAATTTAATGATATCTCTTTAAGAATGTTGTGTGCAGTGGATTAAACACTATTATATTCACCACTTACAAGTAGATCAATAATCAAAAGGATTTTCCACAGAATGGGTTGATTCTCGTTATTAAATATGTAAAAAGAAGTGAAAACCTTTCAGAGGCAGGTTTGTTTTTTCTCTCTGACTTACTCATTTGGTTCTGCAGTTCTGTCCGGTGTGCTGCTTGTTCAGCAGAGTTCTGAAGGACTGGCCAAGTTTAATTAGTTCCGTTTCCAAGAAATCTGAGAAAATTGTCATGTATTTATGCAGATTTATTTGCAGTTACAGGGTGTTCGAAATGAGACTCCAGCACAGACGCAGAGGCAAAAGAAAAAAAATTAATTAGCTTCATTAAAAAATAACCATTAAGCTTAGTCTTTCTTCTGTATGATTAAAACTGCCGCATCTCTCAGTTCTTTTAACAACAGAATAAATCTAAACTTTAACTTTAGAAGAATTTTCCTTTCATTTACAACCAATAATCTGAAAAACTGTGAATTTCTGACCCTTCCTGGAGTCTGGGTCGTTTATTTTATTTTGTGGAAGTTAAAACCTTTCACCCCATTCATCATCCATTCATCACTTTATCATCCATCTGTTCATCCAGTCATCCATTCATCCCTTTATTCTTATTAATTTATCATCCATATATTCCTTTTTCATCCATCCATCAAAATATCCATTCACTCCTCTGTCATCCATCCCTTTACCATCCATCCATTCATCCTTTTATCAACCATCTGTCTTTGTCCATTTATCATAATCCATCCATCTATTCCTTTTTCTTCCATCCATCCAGCCATCCATTCATCCTTTCATTCATTAATTCATTCATCCCTTTAGTGTTACCATCCATCAAAATATCTATCAATTTATTTGTCATCCATCCATTCGACATAAACCTAATCAATTTATGCCCATTTATTAATTTATCTTCCATCCATCCCTGTTTTCATAAATCCAAACATGTCTTTTCATCCATCCATCCGTCCATCCATCCCTCTGTCCTTCTGCGGACTCCGGTAGTGAGAGCGGGCCGCTTAATAACTTTCAGCTGTCTAAGGTTGGAGTTGCATACCGTACAGAGGACGGTGTGCTGCTGCTGCTGCTGGTGGGGGGTGGAGAGGAGGAGAAGGAGGAGAAATAGAAGAAGGAGAAGAGGAGGAGGAGGGGGAAGAGACTGTAAACACGCTTGTAATAAAGAGGGTTTGGTAATATAAGACGCGGGGCTTAAATCTGCAAAAGCGCA